GGGTTGAATGTTCCCCCCACAATCCTATTCAGTCAAGTTCTCTGCAACACACACCATTCTTTTTACAAATTATTAAATATTAAGTTTTATTCTAATCAGTGATCCAGATCTCTTTTCTGAATATCTTTCCAATTGACTTAAAATGGTCATGAATCATAGACCAAGGTGCATGAAGTTTGTTAACTAATTCTCTAATGCTTTGGACATGGATCTTTATCTGCTGCCTACAGGTCATTGTTAACCAGAATTACATTTTTAATTATTCTTCTTTGACAGACTAGGCAAAGCCAAGGAAAGAACTACTAAACCAAATTAAACACTTCATTGGAATGCACAACACCAATGCTTGTCATTATCTTTGTGTTGCATTGCTGTCTTCATGAAATTTATAATACAACCAATATTGAATGTGACACTATTTAAATTCTTTGTTATTCACAGCATAACTCAAGTCACCATATAAGAAATATGATCACCAACTCAAGCAAAAATTTGCTTACAATACATTTTCTAACAGTAATCTAACAAATTTTAACTTTGACTCTTACAAAACTTTGTGGGAACACCCTAAACTATCAATTCAAAAATGCAGATAACTTTTTGGTATTCCTTAAATATATTAAATTGTAATTTTTGAAAGGATTTTTTTAATCTGATTTATTACAATAAACATTATTTTTCTTGATTACACAGTCTAGGCTGGCTATTATTAATTTCATTGTTTAAGAAAATAATAAAAAACAGGGATAGCAACTAAAATAGACAAGCACTAAAAACAGCAGCATACAGATAGGTGGGGCAGAGGGTGCAACAACCCCAGGCTTCTATATTGAGAGGGGGCATCCAATCAAAAAGTAAAATAAAAATTTACTCTATATTTAATTTTAATAAATTGTATATTTTTCATTCTTCATCTGTTTTTTCATATTTAAAATGTCTTCCTTTCTTACATTTCCTAATACCAGGCCCTATAGCCCCTCCCCAGCCACTTGAACCTTAGGGGGCATACAATCAAGGAGTTGTCTCCAGGTATCAACAAACCTCTGCATGCCAATGATTAAAAATAACATAGCAATAAAAAAAAATATTAAATTGTACAATTATTCTATTTGGTATTGAATTTATAAAATATCTAATATAAGGTATAAGTCTTTATAATTCAAAAATATTGCCTGAGAAAAAATAAAATGTGACTTTATTTAATATATAAGTTATTGTTAGTTTATTTGGGTATTTGAAAAAGCTTTAGTAATAGATCAAAAAATGTGCTTGTTTTATTAAGTACATAGTTTTTCTTAGTGTGTGAATGAGACTTTGCTACTTGTTCAGATTGCAACTGAAATTAGATATGAACAAAAACTCCACAGATATTAAATCTTAATTTGTAAAAGTAGCAATATTATGTGTGTAGAAGTTATTAAGTACTCTCCTGGCTTGTGGATACATAAGTTTATATATGGCTGCAGACAGGCAGGAAATTTACCTTGCTTTACTGTCATTGATGATGCACAATAAAATTGATAACATTTTTTTTAAATATATTTATATGAGTAATATATACTGCAGTAGTTTCAGCTTATATTTATCTATCCTTATTAGAAATATTGATTACTTGTGTTGAGCATGTTGGATTTTATTACACAAACAAATAAATCCAAAAGATATATATTATCAAAATATATATTTAATATAATATCCCATATACTGGAATAAATTACTATTTAATTATTTTTACATGTTAATATGGACCTGTTGACATTCACTCTTTCAGATATTGATATATATCTTTTCTTTTTCAACTGTAATGTTATTTGCAGCAGTTTTTATTGCTTTCCCATATACATCTCTTTTATGATGAATCACAAGTTTTTGATTGGATTCATATTTGGAAAGTCTGGAGGCTGTTCCATTAATTGGTCCTTTGAGAAAAAAATTTTTTTTTTTTCTTTTTCAATGTGGGCAATAGTCAGTTTTGCAGGATATGAAGGGGCATTCTTTCACAAGAATATGTTCTTTAGCTTTAAGATTCTTGGTTGTGACCTGTACTGCTAAAAAAATAAAATCCATATCAAAGAAGTTTCAATAATTCTCTACATTTATCTTGGTATCATCAACTTTAAAGGTACCTATAATTTTAGTGCCTGCAGTACAAGCTCAAAAACATTACTACATTTCCCTTCTTCTCTTCAAAGTAATATTGGTTAACTATTTCCATGAAAGAGTGGTTGATATGCCATAAAACCCAACCAACCATTTCCATGAAAGATCTAACCTCTCACTCAGCTATCAAATGCATCCAACATTTATTATTAAAAAAAAAAAAATATTGTTTTCATGTACTTCTTCCTACATTTCTCTTTATGGTGTTTACTTAAATGTGCACATTTGGCTAAAGACATGAAAACAGATACTGTTCTTACTGCATACACAATACCAGCTTTTCTTGTTAATCTCTGCTCAACATCTTTTTACAATTTCTAACATGGTGCTCATATTGTGCAATAACTTTACAATATCCCATTTCTATTTTGAAGTTGTATCTTTCTTACAACCCATGCCAATTGTTATGCATCTGAAATTAAATATGTATGTGTCTGAATTTCTGAGATGAGGTATTGTAATTATTTACACTATTTACATTGGACTGTTGTCCTCATCTTTATTGCTATATTCACAATGTTTCGGCTGTTGTACATTCCAGCCTTCTTCACGTGGTTGGGAATGTGAAATGAATCCTTCGTGTCGTCTACCAGGGTAGATTGTTCTAGTTCCACATGCCATGCCTCTTCCGGTGTCTCAGTATCAGTTATTTCCCTTTAACCCAACTCACCAAGTTTTTATTCACCTCAGCTGTAGCTAGGTATTGAACTCTGAGCTCTTTGAGTCAGGTCACTAGATTCAACCAACATATTTATCCACTGAGCCATGTTATTACATATATTTATTTACAATGAACAACCTCAAGCTACATAAAATCTTACATCATCAAATAAATTACTGCAAATATTTCTAATAAAACCAGATATAAACTGAAATTCACATGGTATATTTATCATAAAAAATAAATCTATCCAGAAATTTTTACCAAATTCAGTTTGTAAACAATAATGGTTAATAATGAAAAATTGCAGGACTGAGTTCAAATTCCACTTGGGTTTGTTACATCATCTCACATACAAATACCCTTGCAGGTGTGAATCCATCTTCTCCTCTCAGCTATTGGTTAAATAGTAAATAGGATTTCTATCTGGTAAAATCATTGTTATTCTCAAATATTATGAAAGCAATATTCACCTACAAAAAAAAAATTACACTTAAAATCTAAAATACATTTTAGCTTTAAATAACTCAGAAAGGGTTGATAAACTGTAAAAAAAAAAAAAAAAGTCAATCAATCAATAACAACATTACTTAATATTAATTTCTTGTGAAAACAGTGATTTACATAATAAAATCTGACACTGTGTATATGTACACTTAATCTAAAAATTTGTTCCTCCATCTATGTTTAAAACAAATGTAGTAACACTTGGGTCATTGTGCTTTTGGTTTCTTTTCTTCTTTTTCTCATTATTGGGAAGTGTCAAAACTTATCAATACTAACAAAAATTAAATATTACATTTTCCTGCAACTTCCTTTTTACATTCGTTAATGATTACCATAAAAATAACTTATAGAACAACATTGCACAACAATGAAACATGGGTTTTTGTATTAATCAGCACTTAAAAAGCAACATTTAAGTGTACTAGCTCCAATAATCCTAATAATTTATATCTTATATATAATTTGTTTAAATGTTATTTTTTAAATGGATACTCATATTTGAGTAGACGCTCTATTTTTATTTATGATAAAGTACTATGTATGATTAATTGATTTTCTATTATTGCTTTAACTGAATTATCTATGTCAGTGTTTGCAGCATTGTTTTTTTTATGCAAACATTAGATTAAAGTGAACTTATTACATAATGATGTTTTTCATTGCTGTTTACTAAAAACCCTACTTAGCTGAGGTTAGACATAGTTAAGAGACTAATTACACTGTGACTTGCCAAAAACCTGTTCTTTGGGAACAGTTGATATCTTATTCAATTTTCTTTTTTTTTCTTTTCTTTTCTTTTTTTTTCTTCCACCCCCAAAGAATCAGAAATTGGTTTATATGCTGCAGTTTAACCATTATCACTCTGTGACTTCATTTGCTGTACAAAATGTTTATCTCGTCACTGAAGGTGACTCTGATCCCTGAACAATAGTGTGTTTGAATTTCATAAATGTGTTGCCATAGCAGGATATGACAACAGAAAACATCTTTGAGAGAAATTAATGATAAGGATAAGGATGCCCTTTAAAAAAAAATGCTGTGATCTATCTAAGATTTTATATTGCATTTAAAGTTCAATGCAAGTATTTATTTTTAAAGGAAGGAAACAAATTGTTGTTGCTATAAAAGAAATAAGACAAAAAAAAAACAATTATTTTATCCTCATCTTCCGTCTTTGTTGTAGCATACTTACAGACGTTAATGGGTATGTCCCCATTCACATAAATACAGTAGTAAATACTGTATGTTGGTCTGCAGTTGAGATTCATTGTGGAATTCACTTGACTCACTTCTAGCAGTTGACTACTGATTCTATGCATCACTGGCAAATCTTGTGTATGTTGTTCTTGTCCTATGTATTATCATTCATTACCAACCTCATGTGTTTATTCTATTCAGTAACCTTCAGTTACAACAATCTTCTATTGCAATCTTTTTTCCATAATTGGCTTCTGAGCACCAGCATGCATTTTTAAATATGCATGCATGCAATATTTTTTTTATTTTTTTTTTCAAAATATTTCAACTTAACCTGCTAAAAAAAAAATCTTTATTGCATTGTGTTGTATGAATATGTGATCTTAGTTCTTATATTTTTAACTCTAATTATCAAACTTAGTCAAATGATGTGTTATTGATTGATTTATATTATTTTATGACCCTCTTGTTATAGGCTGACCAGTGCCTACCAACGATACACCAGTCCTTTAGCATCAAAAATCAGTGGTGGAAACAACCCTCCAAGCTAGTAAGTATTTTATATATTCTCATTTCACTATCAACATTCAAATTAATTGCTAACATATTCACAGCATCTACACAAGTAAGTATCATCCAATCTTTTTAAGCCAAAGTTGGTCCTTAAAACTTTACTGGTTTCTACCAGATTGTTGGTATTGTTAGATTAGTTCTATCAGAAAGAATTGTAAAATTGATGGAAGCCAGAATTAAGACTCAATTTGGGAAATTGCAGTTAGTTCTCTTTTTTCTTCATTCATTAAGCTTAACATTTAGATTATAAACCTAATTTAGTTGAAATTGGTGAATGCATTTTAAAGGACCAGTTTCTTTCTTGTTGATTATATTGTTTAGGATAGAATTTTCTAGAAGAGCAAGGCAAGCTTCTCGCCTCGTCTAAACAATTGTAAAAGCAATCCAGCTGTAAACTGGTTATTATTTTGTCACCATAGTCTTTGAAGTGATTTATAAGTTGAGAAAGCTTTTAATTTTGTTATGAGCTCTCTTTAAATATAACACTTCTAATAAAGATTCAGTAAGGATATTTGTGAACTGTTTTCCTCAAAGTCAGTTACAAAAATATTATCTGTAGATAAAGTTTACATATTATTCATCTGAGTCATTAAATACCAGTCTGTCTTAAAAAATTGAAATTAATACTTCTTTTCCCTGCAAACTCTAGCATAGGAACTCCTGGCAGCAGTCGGTTGAACACCTCTTTGACTCGCAGACCACTGTCAAGTATGAGAGAAGAAGTCAAATTTACAAGGTTAGCTTTTATGTTCCACTTTTCTTTTTTTTTTCTTTTTCTTTTCTCTCTTCATCACTGCTCCCCTTTACTTGCTATTTTTCTGTTTTCTATATTAGAATATGGGTGTGTGTGCAAAAGATTCCAGCACCCACTATTTTGAAAACAAGAGATTCAATACCTAGTAGAAAATCAGATTTTTAATAAAAATGCTGGAAACTTTCATGCATACCGAGTAATTCTCATTTTGCCAAAATGAGACACTTAAGTTATCCATTTTAAATTACCATTATGCAATCATGTTTCTGTAGCCTCTTTTTTTTCCTATTTTAAATGTTGTGACACGTTTACCATCTGTCTAACCTTAAGTGTTTTGTTGGTGCAAACCCTCCTTTAAGATTTTTGTTGCAGTCCTTTTGTATTGATCTAACTATATTTTAATTATGTTGCTTATTTAAATATATTATTTTAAAAAATCAGATATTGTCTGTAAATTCTAAGAGCCATTAACATTCCAAATTCTGACAATTGATCCCCTTTGTGCTGTTAGCAAAATTTCAACTAATCCATTCTTCAGTTCTGTACAGATATTTACTTTACAACATATGGTGATGATTGTTTTTTCTTTTCTTTATATAATATCTATATATATATATTGTTGGTTTCTATAGCAGTGATTATGACTTGAATGAAACCTTTGGTAAATTCATTTTTTTTTTTTCATAGTGTCTTCTATCCCCTATCTGAATTCCGGTGGAACATTTGAAACCGAAGCTAACTGCTTCCTGTTCTTTATTGGATAGCTTTATATCTGATAGATTTTCTATTAGATCTGGCTTTCTAACATATTTCCGCTTACTGTTACTGCATAGAGCGTTGAGTTTTTATCTCAGTTTGTTGTTCTGGTTGTCATTTATTTGTTTTATCATTTGTTATAGTCCAACAATTTCCAGCTTTGTTAAAGCATTCTTAAAATCATAAACAAAATTACTCTGAATTTACCATATAAAACTTGTTTCCTTGTGTGGAATTCATTTGACAATACTTGAAACTAGCTAGCTTCACTCACTAAAATATGGCTGCCAATCAAATTTTCAACCCTCGGCATGGCTTGATTTGATTTCTGGTTAAATTTTCCAATGAAAAAAATGTTTTTCTCACCCTCTTAAGATGTAATAAAAATAATCATTATTACTCTTGTTGATTGGCTGAATTTAAATAGTCAAACATTCTATTTTTAGGATTTACTTTCTATATTCTAATATTAGTATTGTAAATTCATTTGAGAGCTGATATTGCTCTCAAATGAATTTTCTATTAGCTTCATTTTCTATTAGCATTGTAGCATCAGATTACAACTATTTTGTGAAAGGCATTGCATAATGTTGATAAATTCTATTCATTTTATAAAAGAAACATATCACTTGCACAGACAGTTTTTATGTTTGCAATATATAAGTTAATTTTGTTTGGATACTTCAGGAGATATCAGATTAGTTCATATGAGCTTATTTGGCTTTTAGATTAAATGTTGAAATACTACAATCTTTTTATTGAAAACTGAATATAAATTTTACTGTTTTTATACTTGTTTAACCTTTTGTCTGAATTTCTTTTCCTGTCTGGATATGCGAATATTTGAAAGATAAAAAAAGTGGATCTGATTTTTTTTTTTTTTTTTTTTAAATGGAGCCATGTCTTTTCAGGACAAAATGTAGACAATGGTGACTTTGCACAAATTGTGTTTTTTGTTCCTCTTCATTATCAGTGAATTGCTATGAATTCTTGGGAAAGATAATGGAGTAGTTCCTCATTGCCTTTTCCATGGTTTTGAATTCAGAGTTGTCCTTCTCAGACTAACTGACACCCAAGGTGATAGAGCCCAGTTTACCTTGCTATCTAACCTATGACTGGGGTGAAAAGAGATGGATTCATTCTTTTCCCACAGGCATTATTAGTATAAAAGTGAATGCACTTGCAACAGCCTCAGATAGAATTTGAATTCTGCTCACCAATTTCAATTTTGTGCTGATAACCATTATGCTACACTCACAACCATGTCTCTTTTTTTTTTCTTTCTTTTTTCTTTTTTTTCTTTCTTTTTTTTTTTTTTTCTTTTGCCACGGTATTGCAGTCCTTATCAAACTTTTTATGACAAAGTATAGGTTGGAGTTGTTTTGTTCATTCTTCCTTCCCTTTTCATGTCTACTGGCAGCTTCCTGATGATTTTCTGGGGTCACCAGTTTATTAAAGAGATGTTTCATAGGAGATGTGGAGATTTATATGAAAGGTGACAAATGGAATTGCATTACAAACAATATAGTACATGTAACAACAACATTTTATTGCCTTAGCAAAACTAGATAGGGAGGATATAAATAAAAAGAAGGAAATAGAAATGTGTATATACTTTATGTGTTTCAAATCCTATAGAAGATGTTGAGAGATTTACATAGAAGAGTTTCTTGTTGATTTGTTCATTACCCTCTTAGGTTATTTGTATGGTTATAAGGAAACATTTGACATTCATTGACAGCAGCCAGTGCTACTCTCAGTTGAAATTTATAAAATCTTTCTCTTAAAACAATGTTTCTCAAATCCACTATTATTGTGTTCCTTCCTAATATTTTGTTTGAAATGGTGTGGAATGTTAACATCTTGATTGTTATTTTCTCTTCGAGTTACATGTTTTACTTGTTGCGGCTATTGAAAGTCCTCGAGTGATGTGGTTTCTGTTATTTGGTACAGTTCTTTGTGATTTTGTAACATAGCCCACTAGGATCAAAGAATGATGGTTCTTGATTGACTGGAGAAAGCAGTTGGGTACAGTTGACCATTTAAATATTTCTGAATGGGTTTGGTGCCAAGCATAACGTCCATATGAATGTCTTGATCTGACATGGCTATTTAAGAACATAAATTGAGTTTTTAGTGTTGGTTTTGTAGTGGTTTACAGTGTTTGACCCTTAGCCCAACCTATTCTGTATTCAATTTCCTTATGTCCTGTCAGCTGTGTTGATTTTGTGGGACATGTTGATTGCTGGGGACTAAGAAGCCCTTGGATGGGGGGCAAAGGAGACACATAAATACTCAACCTATTTAAATAATGTTCAGTCTCGATCCTCCAACTATCTTTATTTCTTTGGTTGCCCCATCTTGACAATATGCAAAAGCCCACAGCTGAACCCAACTGCTGACGGTTGACCCTCTGACTTGACCTTGAGTGTCAAAGCCACATTGAGATCCCAAAACTGCACCAATGCCATCCTCAGAGAATGTTGAATAAAGCTTATTTTCTTTAGCAAAGAATCAAAGTAACGTACCTTCCACTCTTGGAAGAAATGAAGAATTCCATTCAGCATTCTTTGAACTTAACAAATGTGAGAGACACCTGAAGACGCTCCAATTATACAGTGAAAGAGAAAACTGGATCAAAAGCAGCCAATATTAAGATACAAACCTGAAACAATTTCTTTGTCATCATATAATGATTATCTTCACAACTTTTCAAATTGTCATCCTCATATTTTACTGATTATGATATGAAGACAATTATTACATGACATCAGTCATTCTAAATTTTACTGACAAAAACCTTCTAGGCTTTCAAGGTATTTTTATATTTATTTGATCAAGTTTTCATTTTATAGGCAACTTTTTCTTTCAGTTTCTTTCTCTTTACTAATTTTTCACTCTTTAATGTTTCTCTTTTTATATCTTTCAGTTTGCGTAATACCCAATCCAGTTCAGCTAGTTCAGCTTCTGACTCCAAAAAGAAAGGGCTGTCATCAATTATAATTAAACTGTTCTTTATGATTATCATCGGCGTCATTGTTTGGCTCATCTATATGAACTTTGAGTCACCTGCTACCAAACCACTGCTTAACGCCGACCATTGACCACTACATCCCTGCTTCTCACCTTTTTTTCCCTCCACTGATGTCAGGTTCAACCTGGTTTCTTCCCAATAGCAGATATAATCACAACTTCCTCATTAAATGAGAACCTTTGAATATTCAGGCCTCTCATTCATAATGCCTCTGGCAACATCTTCTGATTTTTGCCAACAGCACTTGATAGAGGAAGCTTGAAAACCAAGTTTTGTTCATTATTACTTTTCTATGAGTGACTCACATGCAACAATATATTTTTTAAAATGTTTTAATAACATACTATCTGCCTCTTTTCCTTTTAGTTTTCTTGTGGGGGGGGCAATTCACCTATCAATAAAAAGTGACCATAAATTGTTTGGAACATTGAATTTAATACAGTGACCTTAGCAACATGCCATACAAGTTGCTAACCCAAATCAAAGAAACTGTTAGTTGTTTCGACTGTTCATTGAATACATAATAAAAATGTAAATAGGTGATATGATTGCACTTTTTATGAAGCCTGTATAACATAGAGGCTGAGTTGATTTACTTTTCTTTTTTTCTTTTTTTTTTTTACATGATATAAAGACATGCATCAATTATACAAATTTACATGGTGGGTAAGTCACCAACAAAATGCATTCAAATTCTGGTGTTTGTTGTTTTGTTAAAGTGAAACCTGTTTCATCAATGGCCTTTTGAAATGAATTGATATCCTAGATCATAAATTCAATTTTCACCAGAATTGATGTTGATTTTTTTTTTTTTAATTGATGCCGTGCCCATTCAGGGTACAATGGGGGGAAAAAATGGAATATATTTCTACTTAATATTTTTTTATGCCACTTGACTAAAAATAAAATTGGTGAATCCACTCTATAATTTTGAAGGAGTTATTACTCTGAAATTTTAAGTTTTAACTGTTTTGATTTGTAGAGTCGAAAATATTTTGATAATTCTCTAATTTTCTGCCTGTTTTTAAATAATTCACTTATTAAAATAAATAAATAAATAATTTCACTTCTCATTTTCTGCCAAATGTATATAGAATGACATAAAAAAAAGATTCTTCAATGTAATACACATTAATTAAGAAACCTACATTAATAAATTGTTTAATATTTCTTTTTTTTTTTTCTTTTTTTTTTTTTTTCCACATAATCCATTTCCTTTGTATATATGATATTGATTACCAACAAATATATTCTTTGAGAATATATTTGTTATCTTTGCAAATAATCCGATACAAAGAGCTTTTAATAGTATGTAGATTGTCTGAACCAGTTTCTCAAATATAATAAACCCCCACAATATATTTGACATTGTTGTTTTAATTTGCTTATTAGTGTTTTATTTTGCTTCTCTCTACACAAGCCAACTCCTGTATGCAAATACAAACTGAAAAATATCAGCAATTAGTAGCCAGGGCATTAGGTACTTTGATTACACTTTTAAAATCAAGATATTACAAGCTAAAATAAATTTTAAAAAAAAATCAGGATACATTAAAATCCACATTTCTCTTGACTGATCTTTTCTAATTTCACCAACCAAAAGAAAATTATTAATAATTGTAAACGCTTTAAAAATTTTTGTTTGACTTTCTTATAAAGAGCCAGAATTTATTTTTCTCACTTGTTTATTCTGTAAATGAAGCCTAAATTAACAGATTTTGTGCTTGGAAAATCTGAAAGGGCTCACAACATCAGCAATTATAGATATGTAATTGTTCTTTCATGTCACTTCATATTTTAAATTTTGAGACTGAATTCATACCCAGACTGTAATATATTTCTTGTTTTGTGTGTGTGTGTGTGTTAAGTCTGTCAGACAATAATTGTATGAATATAACTTAGAATGAATACACTTTTATTATTTTAAGTAAATTATTTTTGAAATGTAAATTCTCTTGACCTGTTTAAATCTGTCATAGCAGTTATGTGCCATGCATGATACATGCTTAGGCAATCATGTATCTTTTGATACATGACTGACAAGGCAGATTTTTTCCCCCGCAGTAGGTTGCTATTTCTTTCTGCGGTAGACCAGTTGCTATTCAAGGTTATAGAACCCAGTCTGTCCTGCCATTTAACCATAGCTGTGGGGAGAAGAAAAGGATTCATACCTTTCCCAAGGGTATTAGCATGTAAGTGAATGTAATGGGTTTGACTGGAATTCAAACTCTGCTCTGCAATTCCTCAATCCAAGCCACTATCCATTATTTCACCATGCCTCCTTATAGTTTGCTGTATTTATAGGGTAAAAGTGCTCGATATCCTGGATAGAATGTGTGTAAATATAAGTAGTTTGGATACTGATATCATGGTATGAAACTCTTACCATAGAGTATTCAGTTGCTGGTAAATTTGAAATGGTAATTCTCATTACTTTAATGCTGGAATTAAATTTAAAAAATTAACTAACACTTGAACCGCCTGTTAGTATCATATTGGCTAAAGATTAATCGCTGAGAAACCTGGAATTAAAAATGATAAAAAAAAATAAAAATTTTAGTAGGTTAAAGTAAACCTACTAAAATTTTTATTACTCACACAACCAAAAATTTAAGTTAAGTGTTTAGAATTAGCATATGTACAAAAGAGTATCATGGAAAGATATCAGATAACCAAATTGATTTCATGTTTGAAATATATACAACAAATATTTGTCAAGTGCTGCTTGCTTCACCACATTACCAGTCTGAAATTCATAATCATATGTGCTTAAAATAGTTAAGAAAACAAAAAGTATAACATTAAGAAGCCAACCTCTATGTGCCTTTTTTTTCCATAAAGTTAATAGTATATTGAATCTATTACTCGGTCTACTGCTAGGAAAGTAGATTCATATATTTAGAGATTCTTGATAAAATACAAAGAATCTGCAGTGTTATTTAACCTGGCATCTTGGCTTCAGTCACTTTTGCACCACTATAATGTAGCTTCCCTTATTAATGAGAGAGGACAATAAATGAACAGGAATTATATAACTTCTTCAACCAACTGGACTTTGTGCCTATTTACTTGATGCTTTCTAGTTTAAAATTGCTGAGTGAAGCAGTCTCAATTTTTCTAAATATGTAACATTTTAGTTTTTACTATTTTATTACTAATTTTACACCCTTTTATTATTATTCTTGCTGCTTACCACCACATTCTGGGTTAGTAACTCTTTAACTACAAGCTTATAACCACATTATGCTAAAACATTAGTTAAGATCATCAAAGTTCCTAGATGAATAACTGCTTGGGAATAACAGGTGCTGTAAGCTTGGATGTGTAAAAGGTTTGATAGGCCATAAAAAATGAATTAATCAATCTTTGACCACACAAGCTACCTGCAAAAATTTAAGTGGATTTTTTTTTTTTTTCTATTCACTGTTTGCTCTAAGGGTCAGAGCATATTTAACCCCAGTGCTGTAATTAAAAATGAAGACCCAAAACTTAAAGTTAAACACTTTGGATACAATAAAAGGCCTTGTGATAATTACATTAATTATGAGGTATCAAAAAAAATTGTTGGCAATATTTTAAGAAGTTCTGATATTTACTCGCCTTATCCTAAAGAGCAATGGACAGAAGCTCGGACTGAGGAATCCATCTCTTCCTCCCAGATATGGGTAAATTGCAGGACATACTTGGTGCTGTAGCCTGGGTTGCCAACCAATCTAAGAGAAGGAAAACTGAATTCAAACCACCTGTTGCATTGTAGGTCTTGCCTACAGGGTAACCTATGTTAACCCCACTACAAAAGAAACAGACAGCCACTGCACTGTTCTGCCTTGAATGTCATCATGAACCATAATTGTGAGATGTAGGTGAATGCTGACCACAGTGGCTCAAAATGCACTAATTGAATAAATGATCCTAAAGATGTAAACATCATTAGAAAATAAAATACATTTTTATTTGCTAATCACATATAGACTGCCTATAATTAAGGGCGTGTTTTATAATTTGTGGAGAGGTTTCTTTATTTTTAATTTTTTTATTCAAAATATTTTTCTCATGATATGACATTGCCAACTGTAAACAATGCATTTGAATAGATTATAAAAACTTTATACAAAACAATTTATGCAAATCTTAATGCAGTAAAATGGCTAAACTCTCAAAATATACATTCAAAGAAGCTGATTTGCTTTAATATGTCAGGACTCCATGACTTTACATTGACATTGGAGGTGGATTTGCAAGATCTGCTGATTTGCACTAAAAAATAAAGCATAAATCTAAGCTTTGGTAATTTTATGGTTGAGACTTGTTAACTGAACATATACAAAGCTTCAAAATATATATTTAATGATTTATTTAACTGGACATGTTAATTTTTCTTTTTTATGTTGTATCACTTTATGGTATAGGCAATCATGGCTATCCACAATTTCTGTGAATTATCATTAATCTAGAACAAAGGTAGGCAACCTTTTGGAATAAAGCAGGCCAGAAAGCTATGCATTGTCTTGGAAGAGGGCCATGATATCAAATGTACTATAAGAAATTGTCTCAACCTCAGATTGCTCTTTCCAGAAGGCTGCCTTGGTCTGGAGGTTTAAAATAAAAAACAATCTTATATTATTTCAACAAGGTTCCTTATTTTACTACAGGGATAATAACTAACACGGGCAACAAAAAATGCAAATTCTTTACTAAAAACAAAATACAATTACAAATGGTAAATTATTTTATGAGACACTTGTTTCTGCTTATTGCTCGATAACTTCCTCACATCAGGTAAAATATTTGTTGATGACATCCAGGTGGTTATTACCCAACCTTGTTCTAAAATGACTTGATATATGTACTCCCAAATAGTGCTATCAGCATTTTGCATTATTCAATAGACTTCGATTCTGCTTAGCAAAACATATTTCTTGTAGAAATCAATAGTGGATTCCAAATTAAATGTTGATTTTTAAAATTTGTTAATCAATTAACTCCAACTGATATTTTTCTGCCATTTGTTTAACAAATAAATTAGATAATTAGTATTCAGGTGTTAAGTTAGCAGTTGGACAAAAATCC